AACTGTCAAGATAGTACAAAGAATACCAGAAGTAAAAATTACATCCAGATCCATAGACCACCTAGCGACGACTACAAGCACTGGAGCGAGTCGAAGGCACGCCGCCGTCATCACCCCTCCCTCTTCGGGGCCGGACAAACCTTATTGTAGTAGACAGTCGGGAAGTCTTCGTGCTAAGGCCCCATAGGACCAGCGCACCAGAACAGCAACCGCCACGGATGAAGAGAATCGTAGATCGAAAGTATCCAACTTGTAGACACACGAACACAGACGAACGAAGACCGGATCCACGTGGATCCACCGAAGACAAACGCCGACCGAATCCCATGTGATCCGCCGGAGACAAACCTCCACACGCCCTTCGACGATGCTAGAAACACCATCGAAACAGGGGCCAGGCGGGGAGGACCTTATTTCACCCACAGAGAGCCGCCTCCGCCTCACATCTCTGAGAAGGATACAAACCCTAACAAAACTAAAAAAAGCATAAAAAGCGGAGCCCTCCTGCCGGCAAGGGCCGGGATCCACCGCGCCTCCATGGTCCTAAACCACAGGAGACGAGCTAAGTATTTGTGGAGAAGAAAAACTTCCTGCCTTCGAGAAACCATCTTACATACTCAAGCGGGATAAGAACATCCACATTACTAGGCGTTAAGCAAAAGCTCAAGGTGAATGGGTCTATCCGATCCTGAATCGAAGCCGAAAGGCGTGTGAGGCATAGGGAAAGAGGAAAGAAGCGTATGTGTTACTATTATCACTTCATCCGAACACATACAATTCTATTTTTAGATAAAAGTACCTAACAATGTCTTACGCCTCAACTTTTATGCCCTTCCAAAGATGGAATATAGGTAACAAAAGAGGGACAGAGGGGGCAAACCGATGTGCCCGCTTTGTCCGTGGGGTGTTTGTTTAGCATATGTTTTTAACCACACGTGTTATGGATGCTCTAAGCCCTACTTCGGCACTTATCACCTATATTACCATAGCATCTCGAAGTATTCCCTTGTCGCTAATCTTTTTGTACCGCGTTGTCCTTAGTTTAGCGCCCTGAGATGCGGATGCTCCTGGACGCGACGACATGCGCCAAAGGCCATAAAACCGCGGCCGCTTGTTTCCCAGAATCAAAATTTTCAAAACGCGAAAAGCCAAGAAAGAATACCAAGGAATAACCCGTTGTTTTATGAGTTTATTTATTATATGGTGCCGGTCACTCTCAACCTCCATAAAAAGATTATTATCATCTTTCCACCTAGAGTTTAAAATCCGGCATCCATCTAGAATCAGAGTTTTTTCAAAGCACAAAAAGCCAAGAAAGTGAAATACCGACGAATATCCCATTGTTTTATGAGTTTATTATGGCGCCGGTCAGTATCGGCCTCCTTAAAAAGATCATCATCTTTTCACCATAAAGTTTAAATTCCACATCGACCTCAAGTTTTCTATAGTCTGGTCTATAAGTAATAATAATAAAAATAGTAAACAGGGGAAATTCCGGGGGGCGGGGCCGCTTGGCTTTTAGCCACCGGCTGCGGCCAGCGGCGTACGTACGGGTCGGGAGAAAAGATGCCATTCCCGATGGCAGGCCCCCGGGCTGGCCGCATCCAGGGGCGCGTAGGGGGTACGATCCGCGGGGCCCGCCCGCCCGCGGGCGGGCTGACGGCCGTCAGATGCCGGGATAGATTCCCCTCGGAATCCGCGCGCTGCTCAGATGGGCCTGTGACGTCAACGCCCGCTGGCTCCCCCTGCCCCCGGGCGGGCCCCGGCCCGCTGACGCGATTCCACTGGTCGACGGATGCCTCGATGGGACGGACTCTCCCTCCTCCTCTGCGACTCCCACCCTGCGCTTCCCTGGAATTTGTCTCCGGTCCTGTATATGTACGACCGATAGGTGCGGTTCAATTCGAACGTTGTTTGGTACTACCACCACTAGTAGAGCTTTTCATGCGTACACGTGTTAAACTTGGTTGATGGCGAGCATTATTGTATCCTGTTGGTACATAGGCTTTCCTTTGACAAGCAACGTGCCGAAGTTCATGTGTCAAACAAAAAGAAATTGTGCAAAAGTTGCCAAGTTGGCGCTTTTTTTCCACCCTCTTGATACCAATCAAGAGACCCTCTCGCTTATGAAGAAGATTGAATGAAATGTTACTCCATGCATAGATGGTCGACGATTCTGATCGCTTCTTACAGGGCCTAGGTGAAAATCGACCTTGCCTACAAAATATAACAATCTGGACACTTTCGGTCGGTCGGGTGCTAGCCTAGATGTGTGGCGTTATCGTCTTTTCGCGGGTGTGGCACATGCCTTAGTTCGGAGGGGCCGATCGATTTTGTTTTTTTAGCATTCAATCATCTTTTTTTGCCACGCGCTATCTTGAACTTTTTCAAATGCTTCATTGTTAAAAGAATATCCAAAACAGTTCTTTCAATAAATAAGCAGTGGCGTGCAAGTATTTGTGCCATGCATGTATGAGCAATAGTACAATCATTAACATTGTCATAAATACAGCGGTACCCTTTAAGCAACTCATTGTCCCTACAACAAAAAACGACCAGACAAATCGAAGAATCAAAAGCATACATACTTCTTGACAACACTTGGCCAACTAATACCAGCGCGCCAACCATGGATTCATTCGGCTTTTCCGAGTTATCGGTACCTTGTTATAACCAGCTCCGGCGCAAACCCGGTGTGTGCTTTTTACAAAGGACCGATCCGCTGACGCCAAATCTCATTTCCTCGCAACAAATAAATGAAAAGAAAATGCATGACAATCAATGACGTCATCGCGGCGCCAATCCTTCTTCCTTGCGCTCAACATGTAAACACAAACCGAAGCGTTCGACCCATATCAACCACGTCACCGTCAACATCGCACACCCTTATTCTAAGTCTCCACCAGGAGGGCGCAAACACAATGGGTAACAAACAAATCGAAAGGGCCGCCGCGCGGTACGTCGTGTTGTGTCGCGTCGTCATCGACCGGGCGCAGCCCGTCTCTCAAGAAAGGAGGCTACACCATTGTTGTTACCCCCCACCAGTCTATTCCAAACATGGTCATATCTGGCGGGTTTTTTAAGTTTTTAAAAAGCCACCACCATGTGTTCTTCTCCCTTGTGACAAGGAGCCGGTCATTGCTTCAAAAAAAAAAGGAGCCGGTCATTAACAAGTGTTGGTTCCATGAGGCGGCCGGACCGGCCGGAGAGAAGAATAGAAAATCGTGTTGCTCACTCCGAGGGCCTCTGGAGCAATAAGAAGCAACCTCGAGGTCGTTTTTGTTAAACAGCCACCCCCCACCCCCTCTACAGTACATCGAGTACTATAAACAGCAGAGGCCGCGTGCCAGCCGAAAGAGAGCGAGTGAAGAAAATATTAAAAAAATAAAAATAAGCTCCGCCTCTCTCCTCCCTCTCTCTCGCGCTCGATTCACACCACACCTCTCAGGAACTCCTCCTGCTGCTTCCTCCTCAATCCCCCAATCCGCCGGCCGAGCAATTTCCCCATGCTCCAGGCCTCCCGGATGACCCCCGCCCCGACCCGCCGCTCCCTCTGCTGCTGCTTCGCCTGCTCGCTCAATCCCCCCGGAGCCGCCGTCGCCCGCTAGTCCTCGCCGGGGGAGCAGAAGATCCGGTCTTGGACCCCGCCTCCGTCGCCGCCGTCGTCGTCGTCGTCGTCCCGCGTGGGGCTGATCGTTCTGTGGAGCTCGAGGTTAGTGCGCCTCGCTTTCTCTGATTTCCCCTCTTGTTCATCGATGCCGGCGGCTCTCAGGAGGGGGAATTGGGACGCGATCCCGAGCTTATCTCCTGCGCCGATTTTATCATTATTATCTTGCTTTGTCGACTGCTTTATGTTCGATTATTATCGAAGCCGCGTTGATCTTGTTGCAATTTATGAGCCGCTGACGATGCTCTGTTTTGTCCGTCTGCGAGGCTCCAAAACTGAAGAAATTGGTTGTATGTGGTAGCTTGTGCCAACAAAAAGGAATGCCTTTCCCCCCTTTTATTTTCTCTGTACAAATGATTTGCCCCATGAACATAAAGGAGCAAAGCCGCAGCCTTGCCTGCTAAGGTTGCTTCAATCCCGGTTCCATGATTGTTGATGCCGCTTTTCAGGACAACACCGCCCGTTCGTTCCCTCGTTTTCTGACTGGGTTATTAGTATTATTATAGTCTTGCAACTTTTCCACCATTTTTCCTCGTGAGGCAGCCACTAACTCTGCAGGAATAATTAATAATCTTGCAACTTTTCCACCATTTCTCCTGTTGAGGCCGGCAGCCGCTAACTCTGCAGGAAAACAGGGTAGCTAGAAACAGTTATTGATATCTGTTGTTAATCCATACTAGTATTTGTTATTACCAGTTTACATATATCATATTTTGAGCGGACAGCAGTAGGTGAGGCCCTCATTTAGCAATTGATACCGAGCACGTCAGCCGTTCCTATCAAAGAAATTTAAGGTGGATATCACCTGCAGTTAGTTCGCTCTCTGAACGGCCTCCCAAGCATAATCAGCAGTTATGGCCTTTGATTGGATTATGGGACTATTCCAGCTTTTTTGTTTTGCTAACGTGTGATGGGAGTCATCATATTGGGTTGTTCAATCAGTGTACGACAAATCAAAAGGGCCTTTGATCTTGCATGTTATTAGGTTGTTGATTTGGTTGCTTAGACTGATAAGAAGTTGTGCTAATAATATCTTATAATGTGGTAGTGGTCCCTGGAGGAGGATTGCGTACTAATCTGTTAGTTTTCTCTGATCTGTCGTAATCGTGACTAGTGTATCAAACACATTTAGTTAGAGTGCTCCTAACGTGATGACTCAAATCATTCATTTATGTCAAATCTGTCACCAGTCCTTGACTTTGTTGCAGCCACGCAAAATTAGCCGTATATCACGCATTTTCTGTTCTTCTTTTGGTGTTCATTCCCTTATGCTAAAATCACTGAATCTACTTGGTAGGGGCAGTGCTTTTGACCGAGAATTTGAGCCCAACGGATGAACATGTGCGAGAAAGATCAAAATTTCCACTGGGCCTACGACCTTTTCCATGACCCCTTTGCCGCTCCCAACAGCTACTATGGACATCCTAATGGTTACAGTGACAACAGCTATTGTGACTACAATTATGCTAGAGGTAGTTTTGTGGAACGTCGTGCAATTCTTTTATGCAGAAGTCATGAAAAAAAGGAGACAGTATTGAGTTCCTCATGTGTATATTTTTGGTTCTGCAGATGCATCACATCCCGATGAGACATATTTGCATTCTTCCGCACTTACGTGTGATATGTACAACCCACAAGTAGGCATGTACCATCCTGGTAGTGAAAATATCCATAGTCTGGTTCAGCCTGTACCTTTTGCATTTTGTGCTTTCCCTCTTAATGTTTTTTTGTGTGTTCCAGGAAATGTTGGTGGGCAGGAGCATGAGGCAGTCTATGTAGATCCGTCTAGTTCCTCTTCATACCCTGGCAGCGACGACTGTTATGAAATGGAGGAAGAAGTAGGAAAGAGATTTTACCCCATGGTCCCAGTTCCCGTGAGTCTATTGATCCTTAGTAACAGTGTTGTTCCGCTAAGATTGATTTCCCTCCTTAGTATCTAGAATAAACGAAGCTTTGCTTCCAAGGAAGCTTGGTAAGTCCCATGTTTGCTCACTGACTAAAGTAGCTACTAAGCAATGGCCAAAGTAGGTAAGATAATTGACAGAATACCTGTGCACATGTAGCTAAAATCTCAATGGACAATTACACCAATATGTATGTCAGTTGGATAATTGATTGTGAATACTACTTACTTTAATGGACAGTGTGATAAGAAATTCTTCCAAAAGTCTCTAAATACATTGTAAGGTGAATTAAATTCAGATATTCTTAACTCCATGTTAAAATTCGGCAACGTCCAGATGAAAACTACTAGGTTCAATTTATAGAGTTTTGCATACAAAGCTGTGATTGCTGCCTTTCTTATAGTTTCATGGGAATAAATTATTACTTGTACCTTCAGTATGGGAAAAAGGCTGCAAGTTAAAACTGCTATTTGCACACTTAATCAGCATTCTTTTCTTTTCCGACATGTTTATGCATCTGTTATTAGCTTTGGTTCCATTACACTTACAACTATGATTAAACAATTTATTTTGCCCTCTCCAGCATGTCCCTAAAATTAATGGTGAAATTCCATCACTCGACGAAGCCACCATGGACCATGAAAGGCTGTCAGACAGGTCTGTCTTAAATCTCACTTCTCATGGGTTCCTTTTGATAGTAAATGCTGCGGAAACATTAAATTTATGAGGGATTGGATGTACTAGAATAAGTTTGATAATGTTTCTTCTTAACTTTCTAAATAGAGTGTCCACGTGTGTAGTTCAGTAATATTTACATGTATATTGTTGTAGGTTGAGGCTGTATGAACTAACTGAGAACAAGGTGAAAGGTGATGGCAATTGTCAGGTTTGTACTTAGTGCCATCCATCCTCACCTGAATACTTAGTTTTATTTTGCTGAAATAAGCATAGTAGCAGCAGTAGTTGGGTCAGTTCTCTTGAGTTATTCCATCATTCATGACTTACTGTCAGACCATGTAGTACATAAGCCACAACCAATTGATGCTAATCTAACCTTCTCAATTCCACAGTTCCGTGCACTATCAGATCAGCTGTACCAAACTCCGGACCACCATGAGTTTGTGAGGGAGCAGATAATTAGCCAGGTAATCGACAGTAGTAATCTTTCTTTCGTGAATCATGATCCTTAGCTTTATTCTTTGTTTTCACACTTTCATCTTTGGCTGATAAATAATCATTTCCAGCTTAAAAGTAACCGGGAAGCCTATGATGGATACGTCCCCATGGCATATGATGAGTATCTGGAGAAAGTATCGCGGTAAGCTCAACAGTTCAAAAACTGTTCATGACTAGTACAAATTAGTCACATGTGAATGCTTCCCCAACTAATATCTTGTGCATAAACTGACAGAAATGGTGAATGGGGTGACCATGTGACTTTACAGGCTGCTGCTGACAAGGTGCTTATATTTGTCTTACTCATGGGCATAACATATATCACAGCTGGCAGGGGCTGTACTTTACTAATGCCCATTCTAACGCAATTCGACAATCTGTTGCAGTACGGAGTGAAGATTTTCGTCATGACCTCATTCAAGGATACGTGCTACATCGAGATCCAACCCAAGGTTCAGAAGTCCAACAAAGGTATGCAGATGATTAATTTTCTTTACAGTTCCAAGTGGGTTGGTTTTGACACTTAACTCTGCACTCTGTTATTTTTTTTCTCTGGTTTCAGTGGTGTTGTTGAGCTTTTGGGCGGAGGTTCACTACAACTCGATATTTCCACAGAACGGTGAGTAGCATGCCTGCCTGCCATTGGCATACATGCAATGCGTGTCCAGTCCCCGTCGCAAACGTATGCAACCAACATTCCACACCGACACCGCGATCTCTGCCTTGTAACAGTAATCGCTGAAACCCTCTCTGTCCTATGGTTTTGTTGCCAACAGACGCTCCGAGGTTGCATCACACGGCGAAGAAGAGGAGATGGTGGCCGTTCTCGCAGCACCACCATTGATGAGGCTCTCTTCCCCCGCCTCGGCGCGTGTACTCTGACGGCGTTCCGGCATGCAAAGCACTCTTGTTTCTCCACCGAGATGGATGGCCCCGGGGCGCACTCCTGGTCGTCCCGGGAGGGGTCGCCGCGGCGGCGTGCGCTCGCTCTGACAGGAGGAGAGAAAAGAAAAAGGCGTTATGGTTGTCTGAGATAATATTATAGATACTTGGAATGGAAGGAATAATGAACATGCGACCTGTCCCGTATATAGTTTTGGGTCGCACTGCAGGCTCTGTTGTGTATTTACATACAAAATTTTGCCGGAATGAGGCTGCATACAGTTAATCATTCATTTGGAATACAAATGATATGGATGGTGATACTAATAATAATAACTGGGTGGAGGCAGTGTTAAAGAATCTGTCGAGTATTTGCGATGTTCTTTTTAGAATGGATCTGTTTGAGATGTCTTTGATTTGGTCCGGGAAGAGAGTTGCTCGGTTAGTTTTTTTCTGTGTGAGAAATGTTGCTCGGTTAGAATTTTTTTTTTGGAGGTTGTGAAGCGTCTGTTGTGGAGGCCAAAGTACTAACCCGAGTGGCACCTAGTAACCACGGGGATCAGAGAGAGCCCATTGATCATTTTGCGTCTTTTCGCAAAGAAAAAAGATCATTTTGCGTCAGTGGAGGCCCATGAAACATTCTCAAGAGGTTAGGGTTAGTTAAACGGTGCGGGCCTCGGCTGCATTTGGCCATCCAAGCATGTCAATTTTCCTTTCGCTAAAAAAATAGCATGTGAATTTCCTCAATAAAATAAAATAAATCAAAGATGTAAATTTTCCTTCCACTAAAAAAACATATGTAAATTTCCCTCAGTGAAATAAAATAAAATACAACGCATATACTTTTGTCTCAAAATAAAATAAAATCCATGTATGTCAATAAAGCATAGTCTCCGATCACGGTTTCAATGTCAGAATAAATGAGAACAAAACATCATATTTTTGGGAAATACTTTCTCCGTCCCAAAATAAGTGACTCAGTACAAAGTTGAGTCACTTATTTTGGGACAGAGGGAGTACAAAACATCATTATTTATGAAAAAGGAAGAAGAAAAAGAGGTTGACCTGCAATTGATTTTTGCTGTGAGTCAGACGGGAAAGAGATGGATGCATTCAAACAAGGCGTAGTAAGTATTTTTTTCTCAATGAATTAAATGAATGAGGTGTCCAGGCGCAGGGGTCTCGAACCACTACGATTCCTGCCTTGGTGGGTCGGACTGAGGACCCCTTGGTCGGTTCCATCGTGGGCCATGTTGTGCGGCCCATGACGATTATACGCGAGACTCGGGAAGACTTGTTGTACAAGCCGAACATATCGAAGCCATGGAGGAATCTACCTCCATCGATGTAGCCGGCTAGGATCTATACCCCTAGGACCCCCGGTATGTTATGTAAGCTCGTGGCGGAGCTCGTTGATGATAACATACAATCCCTTAGTATTCATCTGTACTTTGTACACACCCCAGTCACAATGTGCATGCGGGCCCGAATTGGGTAAATATTGCTCCTTATTTTCCCTCCGACCTAATAGCTACGCTAGGGCACCCTACCAAGGGATCTGCCGGGTTTATCTGCGACAACGAAGAAATAATAATTGATGAAAACACTTTTACTGTTTATCGGGACATTATGTACCAAAAGAAAAAAGTAGGGTCAAGCTTGATAATCGTTGGGTTGTACCACATCATTTGGTCTTGCTGGAGAGGTCCAGGCCCGTATAAATGTTGAGTTGTGTAACAAGACAAATTTGTTGAAGTACCTATTCGACAATCTTATTAAAGGCCATGATTTTGCTTGCGTAAGATTTTGACCTGTGTTCGAGCCTCCCTCGTTTGTTGCCCTAGGTGTTAGGTGTTCCAACTGGTAGAAATGAGATTGGAATTTATCAAGTATAGGTAATTTTCTTTGCTTATTTGTATTTTCTTCTATCTCATATATGGATTTTTAAACCATTTTCCCTATTGATGTGTATGACTTCCTTTTATTTCAGGTACTTGTGTGCTTGCGAAGCATATTGGCACATGTTTGCCTTTGCTATACGTGATAGGGAACATTTGGTTGAAAGATTAGTTGTCCATCTCCCTGATATGAATAGGGTCATATTTCACCAATATTCTCGATTGGAAAAAGTAATTAAGAAACCCAATGCACATAAAACAACGCTCACCGAATGGTGTGCGATAAATCAAGAACATGAAGACCCAAGATGTTTAACTTATTTGAAGTTACCTTCCGAGTGAACTTGGGATAGTTCTAACAGAGTTTGGACTAGGAGACAGAGAAAGAAGAAGTTAGGTGGATGAATTGGTCGTATTCCGCCCCCGCGGGTTCTCGTTGTCCCTGGTGCTTTCTTCTCTGCAACGCCCTCCCGCAGCTGCTTCCTCCACACCAAACTCGCGTGCCGCGGCGCCCCTGTGGCCGCCTCTCTCGCTCTCTACTCCCGCATCCGTGCCGCCGTGTCGCCTACTTACTGGGACCTCGGGTCTATCAATGGTGTAGTGTATGGCACTTTCATAAGCATGCGGGGCTCAAGGCTTACTTGGAGATGACAACGAATGGTTTAAGCTTCTTGAAGAGACTATTGTGTGTGCTACTCCCATTTCAACTAAGGCATCTTTTTATTAACGGCGGAGAGGCAAATTTGAGCATGCTTCCAAATTAGGGGTAAATCTGAGTAGGTGGTTCGAGTAGGGACAAAAAATGCAAACGACCCTTTTTGAAATACAAGTGAGGGTTTAAACAACCTCATTTCAAACTAAAGCAATGACCTGAAATGCAATATAGGTCATAATTAAAAGCACAAATTAAAATAATGGTTTGCTGCATTTGGATGTTACACAACACATCAGAACATCAACCGTCGCCGATGAAGTTCGAAACGATCCAACCTGTAGACGCATGAGCGCAAACGAACGAATACTGGATCCATGCAAATCCACCGAAGAATAACATCGACCGAATCCCGCGAGATCCGTTGGAGACACAACTCCACACGCCGTCCCACGATGCGAGAGGCACCGCCGGGACAGGGCTATGCGGGGAGAACCTTATTTCATCCTCAAGAAGTCGTTGCCGCCTCGCCTTCTTGAGCAGGATATAAACTCTAAGTAGGCTAAACAACCACTATAAATGAAGCATGGGCCCTCCCTCCATCAAGGGTCGAGATCCACCGTGCCTCCATGGCACTAAGGCCACACAAGACGAGGTAGATCGGCGGCGGTGCCAGTGAGGGGCGAGGCAACCCTAATCGCATGGGGGCCTTTCTTTAGTTCTCGGGAAGAAAGAAAACGTCAACAGAATAATATTCTGTTAGCGGTAACATACTAGTCTCATTATATATATATCAAGGTTCAGGGTGATGTTTAGAGCAAAAGCTGAAATTTGACATGGCGTGCATACTCTGTAAGGTCAAAATTATTATCAATTAAATGTGTGTTGACAATATGATCGATGGCAAATTAACATGGAGTGGCTATATATACAGGTGTCTTAGGACAAAATACACCCTTTTGTATTAAAAAAGCCATACAACATATGCAGAACCAAAACTGAAAGCAAGCATTACCCCCAGTAGTATAAGTCTATCACATGCCTTGCGTAACACCCATTGTGATGATCTGCGGATCTCACCAAGACGTTGCTCATATTATACACGCACCGTCCGGGTGAGATCCACAAATCATTACAGTGGGTGTTATGTAAAGAATGGGACAGACATCGCTTAATTATTTTCATAGCTCATATATAGAGGAAACAAACATTACGATCACAAAAGGCAGGCAATAGCTGGCCTCCCCTGCAAATCAAATCACCGCGACATGCCTGGGGGGAGGTTAACCCACTCCAGGTGCATGATGAGCTCGCCAGTGTCGGTGTTCCTTAGCTTGAGGGCCATATTCTGAGTGACCTTCCCGTCTTTCCACATGATGTGGCTGTCAGCCGAGTAGCTGTTCTCCTCGTTAGGTTGGAACGTCTTCATCACCGTGTCATCACGGACATGGGTCAGGTCCTTGACGGCGATCTCGACAAAGTCGAGGATGCTGAACTCTGCATCGCCCATGGTGTCATCCTTGGTGAAAGTGTCGTGGTCAAAGACTTCCTGTGACGGAAATAAAATGAGATCCCAAAGGTTGGTTTTAGGAGCTAAGAGATATGAAATGTTGTATCATCAGAGTAGAGTATATTGGCGGTGAGTTTGTGAAATCCTGATTCGGAGGGAGATGTTGATCAAACTTACAATCTTAACGGGGAGCGTCCAGTTTGTGATAGACAGGGTGAGCTCCTCGTTCCATTCTGGGTTGATGGTTTTATATTTGATGCTCGACTTCACTTTCTGCACATTTACATGAAAAGAAAAGAAAATCCGGGTAAAAAGAGAGAAAGAGAGAGAGAGTGGTTTTAATTGTTGATCTGAATCGATTACTCATGAATGAAATTGAAGAAACAAGCAGATCTGAATAGATCGTCTGCTTGTTTCATCCGCCTCGGATATAGCTGGCACCAAGCAGATCTGAATCGATCATCTGCTTGGTGCTAGCTATCTACCGGGTGAAATTGAAGAAACAAGATTAATATAAAGAAAGCATGCATGAATTTTAGATGTAGCATGCACTCGGCCCATTGTTATTACTCCTACTTGATGATCGATCGATCGATTGATCTAGAGGCTGGACGAGAAGAAGTAGGAACCTGCTGTCCGAGGCGGATGACGACGTAGGGGTCGCTGCTGTGGGAGAGGGGGTCGCAGATGGCCAGGTTCAGCCCGCGCACCACCTTCACCTTGAGCAGCCCAAGCAGGCGCTCCATGGATCGATTAGATCGAGGAGCTACCAACAACAAGAAGATGGATCCCGGTCCGGGGGAGAAGAAGATGGATCGTCGTCGTCGTCGTCGTCGTCGACGTTACGTTGCTTTACGCGAGTGGCGGAAACGCCGGGGAGTCGTTAAAACTCGGAGACGGATTAGGCCTATGCATATGCAGATGCATGCATCCAACCTGGGAATGGGAGGCCGGGGAGCGGCGTTCCTTCCGTCCAACAACGCATGCCCACTCTCTATTTCTGAACTGCTCATATCCACCGATTCCATTTAAGGTCGTGGGTGCGTTTTCTTCAGCTGATGGGACTGACTTGTCACAAACGAAACTAAGGTCGTGACATCTGTGATTTCTTGGCCATGTGTACGTAGGTTCCGACGAAGGAGACATCGCCGTGCCGCCCGGGTCATTGCACATGTCCTTCTCGGCGATCTCGATCGACTGCAAATTAACAGCTGGACCTTTCATTTGGGACCCTCCTAATTAACTGGTGAACATTCGCCAGGGGAGGTGGCACAAGCGAACGATTCGATGGAATTTTAGTTGTGATGAAGTGGGGAGCAGTGGCTTTTTTTTTCAGAAGACATGGCATTTTCTTCCTGAGAAGGCAATTTTTGTTCAAAAACTGATATCATTTAATCTTGTTTTACAACTAAAACTGCCAGCAAAGATGGTTCGCTTGCCACCCTCCTTACAACGAACGTTCGCCAGGTTCATTTATTCACGTCCGTGTACCTCATAAGCAGATCCTCAGATCTATAGATTGTTGTGCAATGTTAAAATTAACACATGTAGTTTATCTAGATCACACACATAGCATAGAGGGGTTCATCATATATGTCACCGGACTACCAAAATTTGACAACTTCTACTAAACCAACAAAAAAGTTCTCCATTTTCATTGTTTTCTTCTTTTCCATTGGCTTTCATCGTCTTTTTTTGTTTCTTTTTCAGTTTTTATTGGTTTTTTTTACTCTTATGTCATTTTTCATCGATTATTTCTTTGTTCAACACATACCTACTCTTTTCAATACACAATGTATATTTTTAGATTACACGCGAAATATATTGTTTTTTTTCCTGTGAAAAGATCAAATCTATTATAAAAATTCAGCGGAAGTACAAAGCATCTCAAAGATAATAAAAAATTACATTGAGATTCCGAGACCAACGAACGACCACTACCACCGCCAGAACAAGCCACCGACGCGACGTTGTCGCCGCTCCACTATCGGAGCCGGCTTGACCTTGCCGATGATAGTCGGGAAGTCTCCGTGCAAGTGCCCCTAAGGACCAGCGCCTTGGAGCTGCAGTCATCTACGTTGAACCCTTACATAGATCATAAGCACCTCACACAAAATCTCGCCACATGACGAGAAATCATAACCTCATCGCCCTAAGGATATGGCAGGAATCTACGTCGAAGCTCCGTCTACTACGTCCAAACGGATAAACTCGATGAGGATCAGAGCCCGGAAGACAAACTCAAAGAAGTAGCGTCGACATTCGTTTGAGCGCCGCACCTGCGATGAATAAAGCCTAAACTGCTAAACGGAGAGAAGGCACCGGGATTGCCCTCCCTGCGCTCGCCGGCGAAGTCTAGAGGGGAGAGTTTGCCCTAGCCGCCTAGGGTTAGGGAGGAAAACGAGAGGAAACTTTTTAGAACATTTTTTTTCTTTAATACATTGTTGAACACTTTTTTTTTTACTATATGGTAAAAAAAATTCAACGGAAACACTAAAAATGTGAAGTCAGATTTTTAGGCATGACAAATATGATGTTTTTCATGGCATTTTATATTGGCACGATGATGGCAAATTTAGTTCGCAAGCACGACAATTTTCTGATAAAAAAGTAAACTGGAGTGGATTTTTCATGCTCGCTGACTAAACTTGCCATCCTCAAAGAGCATAATTTGCCATGAAAAATTGTCAACTTTCCATGGTAAAAAATCCGCCGTTAGATTTGCAATGGAGTCTTTTCAAATAATTGGTGAACATATTTTACTAGGAAAAAATATTTCTTACACATGCAATGTACTTTTTCCATATACATCAATAACATTTTTATACAAGTTTAGAAATGTTATGAAATTTTCAAATAAATAATTCACATTTGTTTAATAATAATTTTTTATTTCTACATTTTTTAATAATCACTTTTTGTTTCTACATTTTTAATATACATCAAGAACATTTTTATACTTGATTAAAATTTTTAATACATGATTAGCATATTTAAATACAGAGATTAACATTTCTTTCACATACATGTTTGGGCCTCCTTTGGTTTGTAGCAACTTTCTAGGAATCTCATAAGATAGGATTTTCGAAGGAAATATTTCTATGGAGCCCTTTGGTGTGTAGGAATGAATTCCTATTTCTATATAGGATAGGAATCGATCCTTCACATTTCAAAGGGAAAAAATATTGAAAGAATTCCTTATTTAACACTATTTTAAATTGTGTTTCTCTATTTAACACTGAAAAACTTTTTCTTCCCTATGTAACACCAAGTGTAAATTTTATGCCCTTTATAACACTTCCGTACATTTTTAGGTTTAACGGTGTTAGATTGCATGTAAAAAGACATTTTTGCCCTTACACATAGAGCTCTTGCATGTGTGTTCAACTAGCGACGTGAGTGGAAGAAAGCTTTGCTGTGTGCGGCTCATTCGGCTTGGGTTGCAGCGACGTGCAGGATGCAGTGCTCACCTCCGGGACCTGGGCTATGGCAACAGCAGCTGTGGCAGCACGACGGCATGTGCCTACGGTTATACGGTATGCATGGAGCTCACTGTGGCGTGGCGCGCAGCCGGCGGCAGGCGAAGGGTGGAGCAGTGGCACTATGAGACGAGTGGGGCCAGTGCTGCGTAGGAAAGCAGAGGCCGGGAGCAGCGCAAGTGCCAGCAGGGTCACATTTCTTTTCTTATCCGCGATGAGCTTTTTTTTTTTTGCGAATTATCCGCGATGAGCTTTAACGGCAGGTTAAATATATATGCACGATTGGTCATGAAGCTGGTGTATGCATGTGCTCGTACGTGCTATCTCTTGATGGATTGTTGCTGCATGTAAACTTTTTTTTGACGGGTTGCTGCATGTAACCTTAGCTAATTAGCTTTGCCTCACATATGACCGCACCATACCATGTGCGCATGCGTATTCGGGTATTCGTGTGCTGTCTTGTATGCGTATACACCCAATACACCCGGCTAATCATACATGCATGCAAGTATTGAAATTTTGGTCAAAAATCACATTAGAGGCAAAAGGGTCTTTTCAAGTGTTATTTAACACCGTTAAGGCTCAAAATAGACGGAAGTGTTATAAAAGGCATAAAATTTAACCTTGATGTTAGATAAGGAAGAGAAATATTTTCAGTGTCAAACAGGGAAACAAAATTTAAGACAGTGTTAAATAAGGAATTCTCTCAAAAATATTAGCCTAGACTCAATAGAAAAATTCCTATCCTATGCGTCAAATGATATGTCTTTCTCCATAGGAATTGAGATTCATGTCATCTCACTTCCTATGATTTTCCTATTCCTATGAAATTCCTATCCTAAGAACCAAAACAGGTCTTGATGTTTAATTTTTTCACAAACACCGTATATTTTTCATATACAAATGATTTTTTATATATGTTTAAAAAGTTTAGAAATATTTATTAACATTTTTATAGAGTTACATACATTTTTTATAAAATTTCTTTTCTTTTTTTAAATGTCACAAACAATTTTCTTTATGCTATCAACCATTTTTTAATTAAGCTAACAATGTTTTAAATTGCCTTATCACTTTTTTGAAATTAAAAGTTTTAGTTAGTTTTACATTTCCAAATATATATATTTACAAGTTTTTATTTAATAATATTAAAATGAAAAGAACATAGTGAAAAACAGAGAAAAAAATTAATTAACCTGGAACTTACCTGGGTCGGCCCGGTCGCAATGCCTGATGCGAGCGCTCCCTGAGACCTCCTAAATATCACCTTGGGCGCCAGTTAAGGGAACGGGCGCTGACGCACGCGAGTATATGGGCCACCCATCTGAGTTTTCAAAATTGTTTACCTAGTGGACCAGCGCCCGTTGACTTTCCCTTCTTTATCATTTTCTAATTATTATTTTCTCATTATGATATATATCATGTATTTTTCACGTGAAAAAGTATGTGTTAGCTAAAAAATTCACATCAACTTTGGTTAATTTGCTTATTTACCGAATCCGAACTATATCAATGTATAATACCATATAAACCGAAGAATAAAAACCATATAAACTTAATCGAATCAAACAGAAAAATTCGAATGCACACCACTGCCAAGGAGAGTTGACCGTTGACTTCTCAGAAAAAAATGTTCACAAAAAACTAAAATAAATTTCAGAATTTGAAAAGGTAAAAAATTGGGAAAAGCTCATGATATTTAGAAAAAATATTCACGAATTTGGAAAAAAGTTCAATACTTCGAAATTTTGTAATTTTTTTAAAAACCAGTAATTTGATAAGGAAGTTCACAAAGAGTTTTAAAAAAAGTTTGTAATTTGAAAGAAAAACACGAAATTTAAAAAAGATTACAAAACAATAGAAAAAATAGTTTTAAAAAAGATTCACGATTTTGAAGAAAGTTCACGACTTGAACAAATTTCGTAATCTGGTGAAATATTTACAGAAAATTGACAATTCCGTGAATTTGAAAATTTCAAAAAATTGAAAAAGTTCTTAAACTTGCGAAATTTTTTTAATACGAAATTGTTCACCCCTTTGAAAAGTAAATAAAAAGAAAAATATAAAATGAAAATAGAGTAAAACCCATGCCAGCAAAAACCACAGGGAAAAAAACTCCCAGAAAAACTTGGCGGAAAAAAACTGCGGGGAAAAACCTATATGGCCAGCCCATTTTTCACGTAGTGCCGGGAGGGGGTGTGGGCCAGTTAGTGCAATTGCCTGTAACTGGCGCTTAACGTGCGAAATAGGATATGGGGCGCTTGGAG